AGGACAGGAGTACAGAGTAGAAGAACACTCCGATACGGCTTGAGAAGGGCTGCTATGGAGCGCCAAGCTGTGTCCTGGATGTGCCCATGCACAGGGTGGGCTCGAGGATGGTTAGGTGGGAGGTGTGTGTCTGCAGAAGAGCTAGCAGTCAAGCTCCTACCTGCCCCTTCTGAGCCAGTGTTGCTTCCAGGTCTTCAATTTTGGCTTTATACCTCAGCACCTCTGCTTGCAGCTGTTCTTGAGCCTGACAAAAATCAAAATTCCATAATTCAGTGAATAAAATGGCCCTTTGATAGTTTCTTTTCTCTCCTGTTCCTTTGCTAGTACTCAATAAGTGAGAGAAGAATTTTCTATGACAAAAGTGTCTTCCTAACTGAGCTTCATGATCTAAGTTCTTGCTGAAGGTTCCTTCTGGGTCCCTTTATCACCAGATTAATATTTAAACTCTTTTAGCAAAGTGACAGCTCTCTCTCCACTGCTGGGCACTGACCTTGGCTTCCCGTTCTGCATCGATGATGCCTCCGGTCTGCTCTTGTAGGAGGGCATATGCTCTTTGGAGTGCCTGGTATTCTTTCGTTAATTGTCTAAATCGTAGCTCTGATTCTTCAGCTGCTAAACTCTTAGGGTTGAAAAAAAGCCAAATAATTATTTGTTACATTTAGTACTGTGTTTAATGTGAATAGTAACATTTGGCCAATTGATCCCCCCTTTTCTATTGGTGTATGCTTGTGATGAATAATAAATACATTTATTCTGAGGAATTGGTATATATACTCACTGTATCTTGATCTGAGAGAAGTTAAAAGTGGTTTGACTTAACATTGTGCTTGACTGCACTTTTTTAATTCTAAAATGCATGTTTGGATGCAAACACTGAAATACTTTTAAGATAGACATTGCAGAAATATGTAAGAGCTTATTTTAATAAAGAATCACTTACTTATGCATACTTTTCTAATTATTACCCATTTGGGCTTGGATGTCAGCCAACTGATCCAAATGAGAACTCATAAGCAGATTCTGGATCTAAATTTGGGAAATTATGTTCCATATTTTATTCTCATTTCTTTTTGATGTACTTATATCCACAATTCATTTATAGCTTTAGGGCATAACACATTTACAGTTAGGTTACAATAACACAATTACCAGGGAATTTCCTAAGTCCTAAGTCAGGAATAATGTGTTTGTGACCAGCAATTTTCATTGTAATTGAAGCGCATAGGTCATTCTGATGAAAGCACACCACGGGGCCAACTTTGCTAAACCTTGTCTTAGACTATATCCAGGAAACCTTCTGAGCTCTTTCTTTCATTCCCATGTTCCCTTGATAAGGAGATTTGGAGAGTAAATTCTGTTTTGAAAGAAGTCTTCAAGTGATAGAGCTGAAGGGTCACATGACATAGGTGTTGCTATGTTTTGCGATGGTGACAGAGTCAACTGTGGTCACACACATGGTCCCTGTTATGAGACCACTTTGTGCTGTTTGTGAAGGAGATGAAAAGTGTAGTGCTTATTTTTCCCCTTAAAGGAGGAGTAAATTTGGTGGCAATGTCACAGAAGACCAGAGAAATGGGAAAGCTTACTTCATCCAAGTCATCATCAGGAGTCGCTGGTGTCCGGTCTGTTCTAAATGAGGCCATGGATGATGTCTCTGAATCCATGGAGTCTTCATCATAGCCAATGAATGGGTCCAAGACAGGCCTCTGAATGGAAGGATGGTGCACATTTACTGCACATTTAATGGTAGGGAGAGGAGATGTGCCAGAACACTGCTAACTAATACACAGGGAGATGGCTGTAGAAAATTGGATTCCTTCATGCTTCTTTGATAAAATAAAAATATCAGGCATGAACACAAAAATATTAAAAATGTTCCCCAGTATTATTTCACTTCTGATTTATATAAAGAAAATTAATATTTGGTTATTCTTATCAAACATTATAGCTTCTTTTATGTTCATCTGTATATCCTGATTGAGTTAATGTAACGTGCTCTCTTTGGTATTTAAAATATACTCAAAGCACTAAAAATCCAGCCATCTGTGTGAAAGCCCTGATCAAATCTTAAGTCTTGTCTTCCAGTTCCACATCTAAATCAAATGATGTAACCGGGTAAGAACAAACACCAGAAACAAAGAGATGAACAAAGGATGCTTTTGTGGATTTTCAGAGGCTCTAAAGACATTAGTGGATCAAAAGTGCAGTTATCAATGATTGTCCGAGTCAATAAAATACACTACTCAATTATAAG